GGAGATCAGGGCCTCTGAGACCAGGGAGCTGCATGGGTAAAGGCCCGAAGGACGGCTGGAGCCCCACAGCCCTGGTGGAGGCTGAGCCACAACTCGGTGGGGTGGGGATCTTCCCAGGTGAACAAAGGACTCTCAGAAGAGCTGGGTCGGAGCCGCCAGCAGCTAGGAGCCTGCTTGGAGCAGCTGCAGCATCTGCAGGGAGAGCATATGGTGCTGGGGGGCCGTGTGCAGGTGCTGGGGGGCCGTGTGCAGGCCCCGGAGGCAGAGCGCACCTGGCTACCCAGGGAGAAGGCAGTGCTGCCAGCGGCACGGGGTGTGGCCCGGGCTAAGAGGCCTGCTGGGTGACTGCTCGGGCCCATCCTCAGAGTGTGCAAGCCAGGCTGGGGTGGGTGCTCTGCTTTCACAGTGGGTGAGATGGCCCTCTCAGCAGGCAGTAGGCCAGCCTCTGTCACCAGCTGGCTGAGGGGGAATGGCCCAGAGCCCTAAACCAGGAATCACGTGTCCAGAGCCGGTCTCCCTTCCCCAGCTATCAGCGCTCCTGCTGGTCACATTCTGGCTCCTTTATGAGGAGGGAAATCTTTCAGCTTCAAGAAGTCCTGTCTTACCTACACATGGCCAAGCCCCTCCTGCTGGCCCAGAGGCAGGTGGGAGGTGGGGGTGAGACGACCTTAGCTGCTGGGTGCAAGTCAGGGTGCTTGGGAGAAGCACCCAGTACAAAGGGGTTCTGTGTGCAGGGAGCCATGAAAGAGGCATCTCTGCCCCACCCCACCCCCCAGTCCATAGGACATAATGAGAAAGGAATCATTAAAAGGGAGTGTGGTTGGGGTGATCTGGGATCCACGCTGTACCTGTACCCCATTTCTTCCAGTCCACGCCAGGTGCAGGAGGCACCAGTGCCCCTCAGGAAAGAGCTAGAGGCACAAGACTCACATCCCAGGCTTCATGAGGACATGGTGCAGTACTGGAAGGCACACTGGCACCAGGTGGCAGTTGCCCTGGAATTTCAAGAGGAGGAACTGCAGAGACTCCAGAGGCAGAGCGGGACCTGGTCTCTCCAGGTGGGCACTCCCTGGCTCCCTCCTTCTCCACCTCCCAGAATCTCCTTCTCCCCATTGTCTTGCCCACTGCCCAGTCTTTCCCATGCTAGGGACTGGGGGTAACCAGCTAGTCTCTTACCCCTCCTCAGGATGTCCCATCTTGATCCTATGCGTCCTTCCGTTTTCTGCCTTTTCCTCATCGTGGCTCATCGTTCTCCATCCATGTGTTCAGCACGCATTTACTGAGCATCTACTACATGCCTGGCCGTCTTCTGTGTGCACAAGCAAGGTCAAATCTGATCACTCCTTGTCCTCAACAGCTTATGGTTTGGAGGCACACAGTCATTGAGCATTTATTTATTATTGATTTA